CTACATATTTTTATTTCAACAGCATTGAGCCGGCATTTACAGTCCAACTTACATTGTTTTAGAAAGTTCTTACCATTGTCCGGTGAAGGATCATTGGCATAGTTATCCTACTTTATGGATAATTCATGTTAGACTGAAAGCGCAGTAAGCTTGGCAGAAGTTACTTGTCTTCGTAGCTATCATTTAGGGCTGTAAACATACACATTTATACAAAGCATGGGATCAAAGTTGTTTCTGGCAATACTTAGCGCGAAAAGTTTAAGGAAGCCTTTGGTCATAGACATGACTACCAGTCTCGTCCCACCTGAGGCCTCTGAAGAGGAGGATTAGTTAAAACATTGTATTTATAAAGTTTCGCCGCAAAACCTCAAGTGTGCATAGAACATCACACTGAAATACAGGAAAAAATATTGTTTAGAATATTGACTATAAGCGGATCAGATATTACTGTTCTTCCTACATAGGGACTCTTTCATTTTACTGAAGTTTGTCAGGCCACTACATTTCAATTTCCTGGGAATTCTCTCGACATTTTCTCTAGTCAGTTTTTGGAAGACACATTGTTAGTGAAGGCTGAATTTCATATTTGGATGGTTAGAAAAAATGATAGTGGTCTGAAGCAAGATAGAAAGAATACAGAAACTGTTCAACGCTTTTAAAACTGATCGGATGAGCTAGTGTGCTAATTGCCTTGAATACTAAAATGTGGTGAATGGCCTATCCAGGAAAGAATCCTTTCCTTATTTAGAACAAAGGTAAGCACTTTTGCTTATTTTTGAGCACTTAGAAGCATGCACAAGAAAGTGTCGAAGATGCTTTCGACTTGACTTTCACTTCATAGCTTGAAAGTCAAAGCAATATCAGAGACTTGGGAAAACAATAGGTTTCGCGATGTATATACTTACTTACTCAGATACTTAGATATTGCTTCACTCAACGTTCCATTAATCGTCACCAGACCAAATTTTAGCTGGTGCGTATCAACGAGCATTTGAGCTAATCTGGTCGATGGCCTCTTTCGATGAGGTTTCGCTTGGTGAAGGATCCATTCCAAAAGTCCTAGTGTTCATCTGCTTTACGTTTTTCTCCTTATGCGAGCAGAACTATCGGATTTTTGTCTTGAAGACACATTTTCCAGAGCGTAAACTCTACACACAACCATATGCAAATATCCAGAAGGAACCCTATATGAATTATCGTGAAGAAGCTCAAGAAGATAAAGTTTTTAAAAAGAGGAGGGGAGTTTAAGACCTTCGGAGTTCTTTACAAATTCAGAATCGGGCATATTATCTTACTTACATCCTAGCGGACTTCCTTTTTCGTATCAAGGGACTATATTTCTTGAAGGCTTTATAGAGGATAATTTGTGCTCTTGGAATCCTACAATTACCATACATTTCTTCTATTCTCTCGTAGATATCCAAGACGGCCTTCTTTTCAAAAGGCCTGACAAGGCGATAATTTCTCGAAAAAGATTTCTTTTATTGATCTCTATGATTTCAATAAAGTGAGCTTTCTCAAGGGGATTCAATAATAATTCAAATTAAAAATAAGTTAACTGAAATATAATTTCGATTGCAGAAAGCAATTGAGTTTACTCTCTGGAAATTCGATTTATAAATTCCCATTTTAGAAACGCTAAGAGGATAATTCAACCTAAAAGCTATAGCATCTGCGCGACTTCTCTTCAAAAAATCATAACTACGTTACAACTGGGATGGATGTGTTCATGGCGCAACAGTTCTGTAGCATTAAAAAGCAAGCTTGCAGATGTATCGCCGCAATTAATTCTGGAATTCTCTTGGAAGAGTTAAGAGTAATTTCAGGAAATATAAGCGTTATGAGCAGTTTTTTTTTTTTGAAAGAAAGGCACGGCGTCAATGCGATAAACGGGTACATCAATGCTAAATCCTCGACATCAGACAAATGACGTGGAAGCAATCGTGACATATGGTTTATAATCTAGTGGTTGCGAAAATTATTAGGATACCTTACAAATGGGTGACCTTTTTGCAGCCCTATTTGGGACTGTTTAACAAGTACTATAACTGCTGTTGTGTTATTGGCAAATTGTTAATGTAAAACTGATACTGGTTGATATTGATATGATTGCTCAAGTGTTGCTGATACGTGGTCGCTTAAGTGCTACTGCAGCCACGGATACGTGATTGGTCAAGTGGTAGTGTAGCTGCTGACACGTGATTGGTCGAGTGATGCTGTAGCTATTGATACGTGATTGGTCAAGTGGTACTGTTGCTGGTGGTAAGCAATTGGTGGATGATATTGTGGCTGCTAATACGTGATTGGTCAAGTGCACTATGGTCACGGGTACGTGATTGGTAAAATGATACTATAGCTACTGATAAGTGACTGGTCAAGTGGTACTGTTGCTGCTGGTACATGATTGGTCAAATGACATTGTGACTGCTAATACGTGATTGGTCAAGTGCACTGTAGTCACGGGTACGTGGTAAGTGATACTGTAGCTACTGATACGTGGTTGGTTAGATGATACTGCGGCTGCTAATACGTGATCAGTCAAGTAATACTGTGGCTGCTGATACGTGATTGGCGAGTGCTACTGTAGCTACTGATACGTGATTGGTCAAGTGATTCTCTAGCTGCTACTACTGGTCAAGTCATACTGTGGCTGCTGATACGGATTGGTCAAGTGATTCTCTGGCTGCTAGTACGTGATTGGTCAAGTGCTACCGTAGTTGCTCATACGTGATTGGTTAGATGATACTGCGATTGCAAATTCGTGATTGGTCAAGTGATACTGTGGCTGCTGATACGTGATTGGTCATGCTACTGTAGCTTCTGATACGTGTTTGGTCAGGTGATTGCGGCGCTTTTACGTGATTGGTCAAGTGCTATTGTAGCTACTGATACGTGATTGGTCAGGCACTGTACTGCTGTTACGTGATTGGTCGGATGATATTGTGGCTGCTGATGGGTGATTGATCAAGTGGCACTGTAGCCGTTGAAACGTCATTGGTCAAACCACTCTTCAGCTTCTGTGAATTGATGGTCGAATGACACTGTATACGTCGTTTTGGTGAAATCTTGCTGCAGCTATCGATTGGTCGCTATATTTTGAAACATGACAAATGAAGTAGCAATGAAGTATTCTTACCAAAATAATTTTTTGGTTCTGTGTATGCTCTCCAAATGCTAAAGAACACTGCTAGATAGATGGCGAAATTGAAAAGAAGGTGGAAGGGCAATTCCTTTGAATCTAGAAAATGCTAGAAATAGCTCAAACCAATGTCACACTTTAAACCATCTCTAAAGCAATGATCTTCGCAGCACGTGGATATTACAAATATCAGCGGCAGAGAACATAGACTAGATTGCTAA